TTCACTTTGGAAATATTTACTGGGTTCCGGCCAAGTGCTAGTAGTTCTGGCTCTGGGATACAGAGCAAGCTAGACAAACACCGGTGATGCCTTTAGGGTGACAGGGATGCTTGCAATGGCTGTGGCGTCCTGAGAATGCCCCTAGCCTGGTCTCTACCTTCTCACTCCCTTGGGCTTCCTTCAGGGAAGCCATGGTGTGACCCTCGCCACCTGGAACTGTATGCGTTCATCATCGGTGAGTGAGGAATTGTCTGAGTGAGTCAAAGGTCAGGTATTTGGTGGATGACTGACTAGCCTGACCTCATGAAACTTATAGTCTAGAAGGTACCACTTGGGAAAGAGGATTGGACAGAACACAGGTGTTAAGTCAGCTTAAAGAGAAGTTTTGTCTGCCCATTTCGCTCGTAATGGGGATGGAGTCCAGCATACCTCCCAGCTGCCAGCAGATCTCCACAGTCTCCCCTGCCACCAGGAAGACAGGGCCTGAGTCCCACAGATGGCCATTGTCTGGGGTTCAGATGCTGGCTGGTTGCCATGGTTGTAGGCACTGGCAACCCTGTCCTAGGAGCCAACTTGCTCGTGCTGAAATGCAAAGACGGAGGCCCCAGTTCATTGCCCTCCCGTCAACTGTGTCTCATGACAGAGACCCGGTAAGACCGAGTAGAGCTGTCCCCTTAGGGTTTCCAGGACAGTCATCTTTACGACCAGGGTGGGGCGGGGGCTCTCTGGGAGAGCTGAAGGAGGAGGGGAGGGTGAGAGGGAAGTGGGAAGTGGGAAGGAGGGAGAATGAGGAAGGAGGCCGACGAAGAAGAGGGTAAGAATGAGACTGGTGGGGAGGAGAGGAAAAGCAAGAAGAAGAGGAGGAAAAGATGAAGTCAAGGAAGAGAGAAAGATGAGAGGGGGGAGCTATTCCAACCCTTCCTCCCCGCAGAGGGTTGTGATGGAAAGTGGGTTGTTGCGGTGTTTATTTCTGTGTAAAGGCCTGTATGGACCAGCTCATTGCTCCCCCCACCCCAACCCACCCCAGCAGAGACAGTATTCAATCCTTGGGCCAAGGCTGCCCGTTGGCTCCTGCTGTGGTACTCAGGCCACCTGTGCCATCAGTACATGGGTCCACTAGCCCTGGGTCTGCCCTGGCTCATCTACCACCCTGGGACCTCCTCATCTACCACCCTGGGACCTCCTCATCTACCACCCAGGGACCAGGGTAGCCCTTGCCTGCAGTTGTGAGGCTACGGAAAGAGCGAGCATGTCTGTAGGGTGCCTTGTTCTGTGGCTGGCATGTAAGCCCTGCCAACGACTGTGCACCACACACCTCCTCTGAGTCAGGCACTGCTCAAAAGCCTGGGGTTGCCACAGACTTCAGAGTTCACAGTCTAGTCCAGGGTGAGAGGGTGGATTTTACACTCGAGAATGACATGAATTGGGGGGGGGGCACAAAGGGTGGAACAGGATAGATTAATTTGTGTCCCTTACCACCCCCCATCCCCACCAAAATAGGTGTTGCCGTCCGAACTCCATACCTACGGATGCCATTCTATT